CTCTCTCTCTCTCTCTCTCTCTCTCTCTCTCTCTCTCTCTCTCTCTCTCAACTCTCACTCTCACTTTCATTTTCTCTCCCCTCCTTTTCCCCCCACCCACCCCCTTCTCTAAAATATATATTCCTCTGTTAGATTTCACTAGATTAAATTGCTGACAGTTCATCAGTAGCAGCAACAATGCAATACCCCTAACCTTATTAAATCAATAAATACTAGATCCATGCATTGAATTAAAAATGCATCAGCAGGTCCAGGAATTGCAATCATATGGCCATGGACCTCAGAATCGAAGATGCCACTCAAAAATTGACTAGTTTGCATTTATTTAACCTTTTTTTTTTTCTGTTTTGGATCTGTGATTAAATATTTTGGGCTTTTAATATTTTAGGGACCATTGTGACAGGTTTGATTCTGTTTACTTATTTTTTGAAAATTCGTTTCTTTCACTACTCACATTTAACCATGAAAGAGAAGCATGCATTTAACAATAGTAATACACTGTGACTTTATAGTTCTTGTCATTAGTTTTCATCTAGGGAATATACTTTCACTCAGAATACATTACTCTAGGAAGATATACTCAGGTGCATACATTTCTACATAAGAACAAATAAATTTAGATGAATATGTTTTTGTATATAAATAAACAAACATAGTCAGTGTAAGTGTATTGCTGTACATTGATTATGAGTTTATTTAAAAAAAACCCCACATTTAAATTTATCTTTCATTGCCTATTATAAGCCAGAGAGCTATTTATCATGATAAAACAAGTTATTTATTTATAATCTGGTAGGCTTGTTAGAATTCATACCATGAGAGATGGAATTAAAGTTTTCATGTCTTTAAACTTAACACAGTACTTAGCAAGTTATACATATCTTATACTTCAATGTGGTTTACCAGGAATTGGCAGTTAAGTTGTAGATTAGTAGGTGAATTTACAGTTAGTCCCTACTGAAAACAGAATGTATTTAACACCTAGAACTTTAATGGAAAAAGTAATATTACTCTAGCCAGATATTTGTTCATACTGATTAATGATGCTAATTATTTTAAAACATTCATCCCCTATTGATGTCAGCCAGCATATATGGTACTGAATTCTGAAGATACAGTCATCAGGCCTTAGGTTCACCACACTGTGAAAGAAAAAAAATCTTTATTTGATGAAATAGGCAATCAACTGAAATCTGTCCTCTTTAAATAAACTGATTCCTCAGTATTTTCCCAGTGTTGGTGTAAGTTGTTGTCTGTGATGTCCCCCAGGGCTCTTTCCTCTGCTCTCTGATTTGGTATATAAAAGCAGCTCTGAATGATGGATTACTGTGTCATTGCAGCCTGCGAAGGATTAATTTGTTTCATTGATTTCTCTTTAGGCAGATTGCCAGAATTTGCTGCTTCCCACCTTTCTGCAAGACTTCTAGAAGTAATAGACAGTAATAGCCTAAGACAAATCAGCTCCTTCACCTAAAAATAGAATCATGAAACTAGGAATCCTACAAAAGCTATGGCAAACTTTTTATTCACATATTGGGAGAGCAATTAATAGGCTACTTAATATGCTTTAGAAATATTTTTAATTGAAAAATTTCCTGACTTTGTGACTTAAAACACCTCATATTAATAGCTCTTAAGTAAGCATTTGTAATGTTTGTCCCATAAGTTTTCTCTAATTTTTAAGGAAAAGAATGTTTAACTCAGGAAAAAAATGTGATGTCTATGTGAGTGACAAATATTTTTCTTTCTATGCCAGATTTTAGGATCAAATAGGATGTCAACATAACTTTTAAGTCCATTAAACATTTATAAGAGTATTTGACCCAAAGAATTGTTAGAAACTTTGGACAAGGACAGAGAGCATTAGAGCATGGAAATAGAATTGTTTAACTGTTTAAAGAAAAAGTATCTTTTTCTGATTAAAAAAGTAGTATCTGTTCATAATAATTTGCAAAAGTTAGATATGATATTTTGTGTGTTTTTCTAAGACTTTTTCCTCCAAATATTTTATATATATGTGTGTATGTATACACACACACACACACACCCCATAGATATAAACTGTGTCCTGCTTTTCTTCAGTTGGCATTATGCAATGAAAATTTTCCTATATAATTAAAATTATCATTAAAGTCATTTATATCTCTGTATACTGTTTTAACATATATGATTTAATTAATCATTGTACTACTGTTAGAGAGTTAGGTTTCTAATTTTCCATTATTACAAATAAAGTTATAGAGAATAGCACTTAAAATAAATCTTTTATCATCCCTCTGGTTAATTTCCTTAATATATTATTAGAAAAGAAATTACTTGGATTGAGGCTATAGACTGTTTTTTAAGAGTCTTGATATGAACTGCCAAATTGTTTTTCAGAAAGGTTCTTCCATCTTATACTGATACTGTTTAAAAACTGTTCTCTGTAGAGGCAGCATTCTAATGCATGATACACGAGGAAAGAAAACAGAACAACACTCTTTTCTTTGTGCTCTGAAAGCAGTGGTAACATTTTGCATATACTTAGTCTCTCAGAAGTATTTTCCCAACCGCAGATGTGAAATAGGCGGCTATATAAATCTATTTGTTTCCCTTCTGTAGTGCTGAAAATTATATTGATTTAATGATCTCAAGTTCTACTTTTTATGCAATTAGTTGTGTAGTAAAAACTAATATTGTCATGTGCTAACGTCTTTTTTCCTCTATTGTGCTATGGTAGTAGTCCATGCAATATCAGCAAGTTTATGCTTTTCCTGTGCTTTGCTGAAAGGAAAAAGGAACATCTGTTTCCACTATATATCTGCATCATAATGATAATAGTTAAATAGCTATTATGGTAGAATACAGTAAATATATTTCGCTGAATGACCTGTACTTTCTTGTTGGAAAATTTCAGAGATTTCAGAGACACTTAGTTTTTACAGGTAGGTTCCATGTAGAGGTTTAGAAAGGGCTTTGCTTACTTTTGGTAAACCACTGCAGTTCCTATTTGTTTCATTAAAAACAAACAAAGAACTGTGATGATTAAATACTTGGCTCTCAGGTGAGACTCAAATATATTTCTCTTAGGCATATGTTTAGAGTACAAATTATTGGCTATTTCTCTCTGTTCTTAAATGGGTTAATCATGCTATTAAAAATATAGTTCATTTTGTGTTTTGTGTGATTTGTGTTTTTTTAATGTTTTACTAAGCAGGAGATTGCAAATAGTTATATATATATACTTACAGCCTGTTTTACCCTTTTTTCCTTATGTTAGGGGACGTAGTGATATTTACCTCTTAAGCTCAACAGGAGAATGTTTGAAACCACACAGATTTCCATGGACCTTTAAAATTCCAGAGAAATGTTTTCATTTATTTCACTCAGACTTTGGTTAAAGATGTTTTAGTGGTTACTTAAGAAATGATTAGAAAATATTTTAGACAAAGAATGGTATATAAAGAGAAACAAACACCCATGTACTCCAAACTCAATTTGAGAAATAAAATGTTACCAGAACAATTGAAGCTCTTCGTGATTATATTCCCTTATGGCTTCTTGAAGAGATAATCATCATCCTAAATTTGATAATTATCAACCCTTTTGCCTTTTATGAACTTTTTTTTACATGGTTTAAAAATCTGACATAAGTGACTTGTCATTTTAAACAAATAAATTTAAAAATGTTGGAGCTGCAATAGCTGTTAGAACGGTTTTAATGTAATCGCCTGTGACTGGGTATACTTTAGTGCTTTACTGTCCTCATCTGTGAAGTTGGGGATAGGTTTACGTGTTCTCTGATATTTTTCTAGCCATAATTTTAAAAAGTTTTTTGAGTACCTCTTGTTTTCCATATGAAACAATAAAACAAAAGACAGAGGCCCAGAGTGGTTAACTAACTTGCCCAAGACCATGTA